AATCATAATAGTGAAACACCTTGGCAACAACACTCAGGTTCGGACGGGAATGGTTGGAAGTTGTCCTGAAAAAAGATGTCGTGCAATTTCCAGCTTCCTAGTAACTTAGAAAGCCTAGTACGGGAAACGAACAGTGTGGCACCCTGTCAACACACCACATAGACAGACTGCGATTGTCAAAGGAAGAAAAGCCAGTGCAAAGCCGTCGTGGGTGGCCTCGTCACGTCTCTGGAAGACTTATGTGCTGGCAAGGAAGGCACCTCCATGACAGTTGGCAAACACTGCTGGAACGGTTCGCGACACCCACACTTGCGACATGCTTTCGCTCTTCACCCCTGCAAAGGACTATGCTATTCTGCTATATTCCGCTCCATCTGTGGCAATGCGTGATTCACGACGCCTGTGGCTCTGCGCTGAAGACAGGAGGCAGTTTCTTTCCAGTATGAGGCAGCTTCTGTCCAGAATGCTGAGCTGGGGGAAAAGCTCTTCACGACATTTGTTCGGAATCGCCACCATGCAAAGACTCTCCGAACTGAGTGTGCGAAAGCTAAACCCTCGATGCAAGTATTGTCGTTCCTGATCCTGTTTGAGCAACATCCACAAATCGCGCAAGTGTAGACAAGCATAGGCAGCATAGCCTCCAGTCGGGAAAGGTCGGAGGCACATTCCCAGTAATCATCCAGTAAAACATGCCTCTGTCTGACCTGCAAATCTTTCAAGTAAGCTATGGGCAAAAACCCTTGTGCACGTAGTTTTGGTGGGCCAACAGAACATGCCGCCGAACCTAGCGGTGCTCTTACTAGAGCTTCTACAATCTGCGGGCATGTGTGATGCATGCAGATTCGAACACAGGTTGGGCCACCTGTATAAGGTTTCGGAGTTCATTCAAAGTTTCTTCTGAGCTCCGGAGTTCGTTGCACCTTGCAGGCCCGCGAAGGTGAAGATGTCGAGGTGCCTGGCAACGTTGCGGAGCTGCACCAAAGGCGCCCTTCAGTAACACACTGCAAGGAGCCGGGTTGACTAGGTCCTTGCCCTCCAAGTAGAAAGGACCAGAAACTCTTCGGGGCCAAAGCCTGCGGAAACAACAAGGACGCTGAACAGATCAGTCTGGCACACTTGGGAAACGATTGCGGTTCCTGACATGGGTCGAGGCCGATTTTTCGCAATAAGCAACAGACAGCAAGGGCTGTCAATCCTTCAATCCACAATGCGCCGTTACGTCGCCATCCAGTCTCTCCCTCAACATCTCAAGACCTCGCAATCTCTCCATGCAAGCGAGTTGTGCCGACTTCCCACAGTAATTCACGATGGCCCATGTCTCCCAGAAACAGTAACATGGGTGCGAAGGGCAATGAACCTCTGGCGAGTTTCGATATGCCAACAGTTCCTGTGCGAGCCAGTCAAGCATTGTATGCTACATGGCCGACCAATGACGTGTGGATTGTGATGCGTCGGAGCACAGGCAGTCCTTGGAGTTGAAGGGCTTGCCCAGGGTTGCAACCTTCACCAACGCACTTGCCGTTGAAACAAAACCGGCATCTGATGCCATCAGGCGACATCACCAAGTTAGGATCACCCTTCATGCAGCTACAGCATGGTCAAAGCAATTGGCACGCCGTCTTCACTGCTCTCACTCCCGTGCCTCGAAAAGGACCACTCCCAAAGACCTCAAAAAGCGAGAAGTCAACTCCTGCCCCGTGCTTTTCAGCTCTAAGAATCCGGCCAAATGTCGCAGTTCAGCCCGTAGGGACGTCGGCCCAAGAGTTCCGGGGCCATGATCCTGTAATTGGTGAGCGCCATGATGTGGCTTCCCACTTCTGGCTGCGCTTGCAGAGGGGACATGTGAAGATGCAAGAGCGCCAGCCGTTCGACCGGACCCAAGTCAGTCCAACCCGCCACTGGCTGCTGCTTTATGCGGATAAACCAGAGAACACCGCTCTTACCCTGCCACGAGCGCTCCAGAGTGTGCCGGTCTCATCTCGACGTTTAGCCGCCTTGAGCAGAACAAAAACGTTTCTCCGCCCATCACTCTTCACATGGACAGCACATGCAGCTGCACCGAGGGCAGCTCATCGTCCAGCAGCACCGCTGTACCAAAATCTGCCAACTTGTAGCAACCTGACGACTCTCGAGCTGTCGAAAAGTCTTATTTGATTTCACATGCTTCCAACCGCAATGGAAGCCTCACCTTGCCTTGGCCCCACAAGATGTTCTCGCTCTTGACATCCTTGAAAGCACGTCGTGAAGGGATCTTCCGCACTCTGGCGCTTCCACACCCAATCTGGGTGTATCGCCCTGTGGGCAACACCATGACGATGCAGGAAGGCCAGGGCAGACAATAGGTTTCGCAGCACCTTCAACATATGTCGACGAAAGAAAAGCGATGAGCCTCTCGTGTTCAGATCCTACTGCGCTCCTGAAGCACTTCCGACTCTGGGAAGCGGAAGCGGCCGGGCTCCGAGTTGATCTTCACGCCGCCTTCGACGAGGTGGCCGAGACAGGCGCAGAAGTGTTCAGCAATGTGCTACTGTACAGACATGTTGAGACTGTTGAGAAAGCTGCCGTCTGCTGCAGCGCCGTTGCCTGACTTGGCAGCTAGCGACTAGCAGACACAATGGCACAATGGCACAGACTGCAATATATCCAATAATAGCCTTCGTGCTTGGTGAACCGGCTTCCGCTGACTAAGCTTCCCGCTGTACGCACGTCGCTGTGCTGCCAAGGTTTTGTCGAAGTCCGCTCGGAGATTGCCTGCAGCTTGCGGATTAACGGAGATGCAGACAGCAATTCTTGCATCATATGCTTCGTTGGTGATCATGGTCTCCACCTGCCTGCTGCAAAGATCATGTCAGCCAAACTGAAGGAGCATAGTTCCATAACCTGACATTGTCACGGCTGCTGTGCATGGCTGTGCAGTCATTGGAAGGTCCTACCACACGGACTGAGAACTTCGTGCGCAGGTCTCTCCTGTTAGCTGGCATTTGTCTGAGCAGCAAGCCAAGTAGACTTCTCTGTCCAGGCCCGTCGGTCCTTCACCGAACCAAGAGAGCCGATTTGGGAGAGTGTAAGCCTCATGTAACTCTGCAAGAATGCTGCGGCGTCCTGCAAACCAATCCAAATAAGCAACGAGACATGGATGCCTCTGAAATGTTTTCTAATTCAACATCACAGCAGGGCTGCAAAGGCCTACACAGGCTGAGGCGCCCGAGGTTCCAAGAGCTTCAAGTGATGAGCATCACCCTCCGCACCATCGGAACCGCGAACTCTCTCTAGGATCTCGGCCCCGGAGACACGGGATCCCCAACCTCAGCTCAGCAGACGGATAAGGTGCTTTTCTTAGTGCTTTCAGAGAAGCCGAGCAAAATCCAATCTAGTCCGCTGGGGTTTGTTCTGTCCGTCTCGCCTGCTACAGACATCTTTGCTGGCCGAACTCTTACTGTTGCAACGTGGTTTCATCACGCATGCCATACTTGTCGACGAGGCCAGCACCTCCTCAGCATACTTCGCTCGGCAGTGGAATACCACCGAGATCTGGAGATGACATGATGGGTTGCACAAGAACGAGCCTGCACGAAGCTTCCTGTGATGCAGCCCTTCATCTCACGGACATCATGGCCACATGAATACAGGGAACAAGCCTTCACCTTCAAGTTCCGACGAAAGTAAGAGCAAAACGCCGCGCTGTTCCACGACGGCCCACCTCTTGCTGTATCTGACGCTGGATGGCCGCGTTGATGGCACGCATATGCTTCAGCGCAACCTACACGGATCGCGGTGTGATGAGCACTCCACATTTTAACTTACGAGCACACGAGATTTCGGTGCTGAACTAGCAGGTCAACCAGGCAACAGCTATTCCATCCACTCTCCACACGACTGGGCTGGAAACCTGGCCTGCGAGCTGTCGATGGAAAGGGCCCCATATTCCTGGCATCGGTGGTCCAACTTACAGCGAATGTCGCTACAGCACGATAGCAAAGAGTTTCCTTGCACCAGTGCGAAGAAACGAGAGCTCAAATACATACAGGCAGAGAAAGAGGCGTCTGCGGCCACCGGAGCAACTGGCCGGATGGGCTGGGCAGCTTGCTGGAACACGGCCAAGGAAAACCTCGCCTCGCACATCGGAAACACAATGATTGACACATCCTGCAAGAAACCTCCCTGGGTCTGTGAGCCATGTCTGTGGCACAACCAATCGTGGCCCCTGCCTTTGTTAAGGGAAACGCACAGAAGCCGAGGACCCGGCCAGTTGCCCCACATGACAGGTGCTTGCCTTGAACGTATCCTGCGAACAGAAATTGCGATTGCGATACACACGGGACAATAACACCGCAGACACCCAACGCAAAAGAAATAATGGAAAACGGAGCTTCCAGCGCGACATTCACCACCAGGAGCTGCACATTCTAACTTGATTCATCAACGTCGGGATCTGATTTACCTGGCACTCTCCTCGGTTTTGCAAGCGCCGTCCGGTCTGGAAGCCGCGGCAAGCCGCGAGGAGTTCCGACTGGCATGATTCACATCCGCAGTTTACAGCCTTCTCGAAAGTTTGTGACAAGTACAACAACTGCAACTGCGACCAAAAGCTTGTTTGAAATGGCCACGACACTTGCTGAATTTGAAGTTGTAACTCCAAATCCTGCTGGAGTTACAACTGCAGAACAGATTCTGCACCTTGGAAAGCGGCAGGGTTCGCGTGTCTGACTCGGCGGCCCGCGCCATTCACCATGTCTGCTCAAACTGGACAGAACTAGTGGGGTATGTAAGGGCTAGGCTGGCACAAGCCAATGCTGTCAGCGCTACATTAGATTCCAAATTCTCATTTGTCGTTGTGAGTTTTTGTGTCGCGAGCGGTTTGGACGAGCGGTGTCAACTGCTGAACCGAAAATACCCTTGTCTTCGTCTCTGAAGTGAACATGCACCTTTGGCTCTTCGCACTTGCAAGACCGGACTTAAGCTTGCTCCTGATCTGTGCCTCGAATCTCGGTCCGGACTTTTTAAGAGAAAGCGAAGGTCGGAGCCGATGGATGCATCGGATCGTCGCTCGGCCTCGATGCTTTGGACCTCAAAGAGAAAGCGAGGCGATGCTCGGATGGATGATGATTTTCGGAAGGCGCGGGACGGTGTGGGGCCTTTCGATGACTCTGAGGCCAAGGCTTTTTCGTCTTTTTGCCTTTTTCAGTTGCCTCTGTGCCTGACCGGAGCAAGGGCTGCCTCCAAAGAACCGGGTTTGGTTTATTCACACGTACGGATCACAGAACGACGTCAGAGCCTTCGGCAACCAGATGCTCTGAAAGTTCGCTTGGAACTGCCGCCTACCAAGGTTGGAACTGGAGAAGTTAGAAGCTGAAGCCTCGCCACTTCCGGGCCTGGTCCGGCAGAAGTATTCTCAACAAGCTGAAAGCGTTGGCTTCATCGCCTGCTCACGATGGTTCAGCTGCAACGCTTGCGGCGGCGTGTGTCTGGGGAGACCTGACTACTGTACTGGCTCGGGTATCTTCATGGAGCATGACGTTTATCGGCACACAAGCCTAGGGTGTGAGATAACCTCTTCACAAGACTGGCTTCGCTCACGAGCTCTTGCCTGCAGGGGTTGGCAGTGCCGTCTCCTGGTGGCGCAGCTTGCGGACCATCCTCATGCATGAAAAACAGCAAGCAGGCGCTACAGAGGCGCTGGGGTGAGAAGAAGCGACTGGCTATGAAACATCCCTGATGCTTTGCTGCTTGGTTTGCCATGTCAGCCGTGGGAGTGGTTCGTGTGTCAATACCTACTTCAGTACAAACACAGCAGGCTTTACGCATCCGCCAATCCCGGCATGCCCCTAAAGAGGGCTGGGCTCTTTCGGTCGGGTCGGATCTGCTCACGCTGCAGAATTCCGGGAGTTTTCAGAGCGTCGGACGCTTGCAACGTATGCCAAACCACAAACTCGCAAACACTCTCTCAGTCGTGGCTCCCTCTTCGTGCCGATAAGAGACGAGTTCGGCCTAATCGTATGTCGTCTCTGCTCCAATATTCGCAGCAGCACATGCTCCAGTTTGGCTGGCCTTCACCCGTCTGGTTTTGACGTCTTGGAGAGACCCAACAGCAATGGATGCAAACTGACTCTTCTAGTTTTTGATATGCGTTGAGTCGCTGAATGTGGCTTCGTCTCTGAGACTGGGGCTTTGAGAGCGTGGTTTTTGCGTTGTTGCGTGTCCTTCAGATTAGCTCCAGATGTGCTGACTGTGCCCACCGTCTGGCGGTTTAGTTTTGAGTGGTTCCATTGCCAGTTTCATCATGCTTTTGGGTTACGTTCCTCCAGATCGTATGAACGGAATGCAGTTTCCTTTGGGTCGGGAGAGTCGAAGCTCGAACCAAATGCAGGATGTGACACCAACGACGTGAGTCATGCCAACTTGCTGAGGCGTAGTGTACAATCCCCCGTGGCCGTGTTATGCTCTCGCCGATCCTGGACATTTTCATTCGTCCATTTATGGTTTTTCACAAGGCTACTTCAAGAGTCAGGACTCAACAAGCCAACTATGGCGACCGTGGCAACGAAAAACCATGTAATCCTGCACATCTGCACATCTGAGTGATGCTGCTGGGTTCCTGACGCGGCCCATTCCACTCGCGGAACAACTTGTCCCCCCAGCTCCAGCTTGTAGTCCTTGGCAGGTCACCACGATTTCTCGATGCACGCCATGGAACTCGACAGCTCGGAGCACGGCTAACTCCATTCCAAGATCCCAAATCTGGAATCCTTGCTTCGCCTGAGCATCACTTCACTGGGGGGTCAACAAATCAGCTACTCCTTGGTGAAATGGCATGATTCACTGATGCGTCGGTTGCCATGTCAGACTCGGATGCTGGGATATGCTGAGTGTCGACACCAACCGATGCCTTCGCTACGACTCGAGACTTGGGTCCGGCTGCAACCCCATCAACGAACTGAGAACTCCGACAAGCCATGCCCCAAGCGCTGCTAGCTGCACACATCCTGCGCTTGGGTACCTCGGAACGGTAAGGAAACGGAAGATGCAGCTGCCGGAGATTGAGTGAAATGGTGCTCCTCCAAGGATCGGACTTGTCTTTGATGGAGAAGCCAGTGCAGCTACTGCAGAGCAGTGTCTTTGCACAAGTCATACATGTAGCTGAGGAAAGCTCTCCACAAACCAATGCACAAAGAAATGCAACAAAGAGCCCAACCTAAACACCAAATCATGCACGACGTCATGTGTTCTTTTGAATGCACTTCCGCAACTGCACAAAGGAGCAGAGCCTGTAGGTGCTGCCTCGATCGAATGAGGGGCAACTGCCATATGACAAACACACATTCATTCCTGCGCAAACATCCTATCCACAGTGCATTGCGACATGCAGCGGCTGCTGGGCACCACACCACACGTGTAGCCTGCGCACATCGTCAATTCAATCTCGGAACGACCCGTACTGTTGCAGAAGAGTGCTGGAACTTGAACTTCTTTCCCCACATCTACTTTGCCAGAAGGATCCTAGTCTTCCAGTGCCTCGGAGGTTTAGACAGCAACGCTTTCCCATGCAAAAACGTCAACGAAAGCTGAGAGGCCGTTTCGGCTTCTGCAAACCTGTATCAAGCAAACACCACGCAGTGGTGAATTCAAGGATTTGGTTTCGGCAGCGCTCCTTCTCTTTGGAGTCAAACCCAGATCTGCATTCGGCACAAGCGCACGGCTCGGGAGGACATTTAGTCAAATCTGATGATCGCTCAAAATCGTCTAGGCTGAGCCATGCTCACAGAATCCCTGAAAGGAAAGCTGAAGCTGCGCCTATTTCTCCGGCGACGAGATCACCATTTTGGCAATTCCACAACCTCGCAGGTCAAAAAAGCTGCCCTCTGCTAACAAGTCGCCCTGGCAGCTGGCAAAAGGCCGAGAACGCAAAGGCTTGCAAAACGCATGAAGCTGTGCATCTCTCTGGAGCCGCAACACACTGTTCTTACCTGCTTGGAGTGTGCATGTTGCTCTCGTTTCACAGCAACACAAGTGTGTCCCACGTGTCACAACAACGACACAGGCTAAGTTGACTCTGTGATCTTTTCTGGGATTAGGCCACAAACCTCCACCGACCTTGACTGTTTCTTGTGCTCCTCATCTTAAGAAAACCATTATTCCAAAAAATGAAAAGACTCGCCCGTGCAGCAAAGTGGCTCTATGGAAAGAAACCGAATGCCACCTCTCAGCCACTTTGAGCCTCTGCAGGGAGCACGTTGAGGCTGCAGCCCTAAAGACGCAGACCAGCATTGAGATCAAGTATGCAAGGCAACGCAAGGTACGGACATAGAATGAACAGACCTGAAAACTGAGCCACACGCCAAGGCTTTCCACGTCCTGCAAGCGAACATGACCCATGCATGCCTCAATTGGCCGTACCTTGCAAGAACTGCTAAACTCCACTCTGCAACGAAAGGCAGGGTTTCAACATCTCCTTGTACGCCTGCGCCATTTTGTCCGACAACCAGCAATCACCTCCACGCAAGTGTCCGACAGCCATGAACCACTGTCACGGAAAACCGGATGAAGTCACACAGACATGCTTGAAAAGGAAGTCGTGCATGCAAGACTTCAGGACCCATGCATGCCTGGTGCCGAAGTCCACGTGTGGCGCTGAATGTTGTCGACAACCTGCGAGGTGCCGTTTTCTGCTGTCTGCATGATCACAAAAAGTTTGCGGGAAGCTCCCTGGCTTTCCCTGTTTCTCTCGTTCCCTCGTTCCTCCTTCTGAACCTCACCCAAGTGCAGACATTGATCCCTCCCCGACGGCGAGAGCATTCGATGGAAGCACTCACGGAGAAGCGCTGTGTCGCAAATGCCAGCCCTCACTGTTGACTTTCCCTAGCATCTTGTTAACCATCACTGCGGGCCAGACCTCTGACCATGCCTCATTCACAGAAAGCCGGAAAGCTTTCGCGCGCTTTTTGACCTCCATGTCACTTTTAGCTTACGTCTTGATGCTGACACAGTGACGTCCATGCAACTTGCAGCCGGCCTTCTTTCCAACATGTGTTTTGCCTGATTTGGTATTGACGCGAGAATTGTCATGGGATCTCCGGCAAATGCACGGTGGTGCGAATTCCCGACGGGGCGCAGTCAGGACTACATTGCGAAACAATGTCAAATCCTGTTAATCGCCCCTTGCCAGGCAGGTCACATCTGTCCTGACTTTGCCGAGGAGCTCGGTTCCAAAACACATCGCTGGAGGTGCATCTTCCCCAACAGCATGCCCACCTCAGCTACCCGATACCCCATGCAATAGCACACCACATTTCAAACAACCACATGTGAAGCAGCCGATCTCCTAGCAGCAGCCCCAGACGACATGTGTTCAGTATAAGGACTCCTGCGTGAAATGAGCTTTCTGAACGGTGTACTAAGTCTGCTCAAGCATCCTGACGACATGATTCGATGCCAGACTTCTCTTGCAAAGGGAGCCAGACAAGTCTGTGCGGCTGCTCTTCACTTTGAAATTCAGCAACTTTAGAAGGCACTGGCCACAGGACTTAATCTATGCCAGCAGAACGATCAAGGCGGCGGCTCTTCTGCGAGAAGCCTTCGTACCAAACAATTAGCTGTCTTTCCGGCAGCATGGGTGAACATCTAAAACTGCAGAGAACGAACAACGAACAGTTACGGTTTTACTCGTGAACACCTACACCTGGACGCACGAATACACAGATCTAATCCTACCTTATAAACCGAAGCGAGGCACAACAATTCCCACCCAAGCCTTACCACTACGAAACGTTGCGCCTCACCCGACGAAATCGTTCGAATTTGATCGGCAAGCTGATCCATGCGATGGATTACTGCACCCGTGGGAAAACTGAGGCATCTGCACCAGACATGGGTAGGAAGCCATGCCAGACCATCAGCGCAATGAGGGACGCGGTGCGCTGCAGCAAAGGCTAGTTGGCCAGTTCCAGAAAAGCTCTGGACGTGGATGACACACAAAGTAGCGACAATCAACTCGCCAATTTCCAATCTAATTTTACATCAACGAACCTCGCCCTCGCCCAAATTCGCCACCAGAAACTCGCCACCGTCTGGAAGGCCTGCCAAGCTCGCCAACGTTCAACGCAACCGAATGAGAAGGTGACCAACAGCCTCCAGCCTCAATTAGCCACCCTGTCAATACTATTCAATGCAACTTGAACACGTGACTAGGCCCACCCTTCCCATCTAAATCTTCCGCAACCAGTATCTCGAAACTGTTTTGACTTTGCAACCTAACTGAGAATTCCATCTGCCTGTTTGTCTTCAACTGAAGAATGACAGCCAGGCATCAGACAACAGCCAGCATTTTGACACAAAACTGCCTTCATCCACCAAGTGCGGCAAGATCTCCTCAAGATCCTGCGTCGGCATCAGTGCAACACACATCAACACGAATCGGCTGGCACTGCGAACGGCGATCAGGAAACTCCACCACACGCGAATGCACATGTTTAAATCCTCGAGTGCCAGAGATGATGGTATGCGTGCCATGTGTCCGGCAAGTTTTTGGCCCATGCAAAAGAATACGGTATGTTGTTGAAACCTGCCGTAATAATATGGTGTGTGGGCTTGAACGACTGTGCTGTTTGTTGAGGTGTTAGCAAACCTTCTAATCAAATTTCAGTTTACAATAATTATGTTGGAAAGCACTTAATACCGTCTTACTGAGTTGAATTAGCTGGGCAAACTCTGCTCGGGGCACGCTTTCATTTCGTGCGAAACTAGGCCGTACTGTCACTTTCACTGCTGCAAACTGCCAACTGCTCCAGAAGCTGCGACACCACAACAGCAAATGCTTCCTGCAAATTGAAAATGGACACAAGGCCGCACAGCCGCTCCGCAAACGGCAACCGTACTCGATGAAATAGCATGAGAATCTTCATTGAACGCCCGGTGAGGCCCTCCTCCCCACAGCTCCACAAGCTGTAACATGTCGCAGGGAACCACCCTGAATCGAAGGTTCGCAATAAATGACACGTTCTGAAAATCTACAAACTTTTGTCTTTTGTGTCAAACACAACCCCAAGATTTAACACTCAAATCTATTCAGAGAAAAATGATAACTTGCAACGCTCACGGAATGATTTGAAAACCGCGTTGGGATCGACGAAAGGTCAATCATGCACATGCCGAAGTGCCCACATGGCAACATGTGGCACTTGGCACAAACCTGAAGCGCTGTTTGACACGACGTTTAGTCCCGAATAGCGCGCGCATGCGGTGCCAGCTGCGCTTGGCGTGTGCAAGCAAGCGTTCCCCAGCCTGGTGTTGGTGGCAACGCTTGGTGCAGGCAAGCGTTCCCCAGCCTGGTGTCTCTGGCAACGCTTGGCGTGTGCAGGCAAGCGTTCTCAGGCTTGCTAACAAACTACGGCACCTGGTCGGGATTTTGGGGTTCGAAGCTTTCGAGTTTGCTACCAACTTTTACCATCCATGCTGCTACTTTTGCGAGGGATCCAAAGCTCCAAAAACATGCCTTCTTTCACAGCGGATGGATTTAGGGTTCACGGTTTGCTTTTCACTGCGGGCCCAGGCCTCCACAACCACAACTGTGAGTCCAAGCCTGCAAAATCCACGTCTGCTGCTTTCACTTTCTGCTTAAATTTGCTTTTGCGCGAGTAGGCGCACGAAGCACTCGCTCCGGTGAAGCAGCAAACCAAAAGAACCCAAAAGCATGCCTGCTTTCACTGCAGATGGATTTGGGGTTAACAGCTTGGAGTTTCGAGGTTTAGGATTTGCTTCCAAGCTCAATATCCATGTCTGCTGCTTTCACTGCGGGCTCAAACTTCCAAAATCCATGCCTGCTCTTTCCACTGCGGGCCCACGCCTCTACAACCACAACTGCTGCTTTGACTTCGAGTCCAAGCCTGCAAAATCCACGTCTGCTGCTTTCACTTTCTGCTTAAACTTGCTTTTGCGTGGGTGGGCCCAACAACAGAACTCAAGCATGAGCTGTACAGGGTGAAACGACCGGGTTTCAACAAGACAACACTTCAAAGATCTGCTAACGCAGTCATGTCACTTTGGGTGCGAAGCTTCAAAATTCAAGTGTGCCCTGTGTGTGGTTTTTGCAGCAAGCCACCATGACAAAATATCCACAAAACGTCACAGCCACATGCAACAAAATCCAAATTGCATGTCTACTTCTTGCAAGAGGCACTTCCGATTCTCCAAAATTTCCAACAAGAATGTTTCTGCACGAATACAATGACAGGCATCCACAAAAACAAAGCATTTTCTTGAGATTCTGCACCAACTGCCTTGGTGGCTTCCGAAGAGTTCCCAAACTTCTTGGAAGCGCCTTGCGCATGCAGTTAGCATGCAGTTAGGAAAGTGTGCGCACCTCGGGCGATGGAGTCCGCACCTTCTCACGGAAACCATCGGATTGCTTGGTCTTTTTGGCTCGACCACGCTTCTGGGCCTTAGGCCCGCGTGCGATCGGCGCCAAATCAAAATCGGACACAAGGCTTTTGATAAAAGCAGCGTGCTCAGACGCTGTGTCATGAGTAAAGTGCGGATGCTCATCCAAGATTTGGCCATCGGCCAAGCAGCATACCAGCACATAACGGTAAAACAGCTACTTGTGACGCTTAAAACTCCACGTGTGCATGTTACCCAAGCTCTCTCGCATCTTCAACTCCGGGTCTTCATGCAAACACGACATAAACAAGTCCAGACGACGCTGTAACTCTTCTGGCTTCTCCAAAACGAGTTTCAGCTGGTACTTGGGGAGCACATACACTGCTGCTACAGCTTTGGTGCGCCCATCAATTAGAACACGTGCACCGTCCAAGTCCTCCTTCAGGTATGTGTGTTCCACACCATTCTCGCGGCACTTATCCGCCTGGCTTGCCCTTGTTCGACAAGTGAACTGTAGAGGCATTTCAAGTCGGAAGAACACACTTGCGATTGCCCGACCTGCGTCCAAGTCAGAAGAAGGAACCAGCTCGCTCAAGTCCAGGCCAAAATCTCCTTCAATGTCCGCCATTGACTGTTGGCATGTTGTTACCAACCGATGGACTGACCTTCCAATTTGTGATCTATCCATGTTTCGAACCGCACTGCTCGTGCCACTTGCGAAGTCAGACTGTGTGAAAACCATTGGGTTGGTTGTGAAGCTTCCTGGTGGATGCATGCGCCTGGAAAGTGGCGCTGCATGGCTGCAAATGCACCCGCGTGGCCGTCGAGCCACCAGGATTTGCAATATGTGAAGTTGCAACGAAAAACATTGTAAGAACAACGTCTGCAAACTTCAAGTCAGCAAAGCTTCCAACGAATTTCACACAGTCTGGAAAGACACCTTGGGTTGACTTCGCAAAAAGTGGCACCGCCGAAGACAACAAAGACAAACAAACAATGCCAAGCCATCGTCCATGCAAAATAACACGTCCAACGGGAAGCTGTTGCATCACTTGCACGTCACTCACTTGCGTCAGTCACTTGCAGTCTGCACTTGCGGCGCTTCTCTGGCAGTCAGAAAGACTGACTCCATCAGACTTCCGAAGGCTTCGGAAGGCTTTGAGAAAGGGTCCAGAAACCAGCCTTCCAAAGTGAATTGTTGGAACCCTTTTGCACTTTGTCCGTGGCCATCCGCTTCGCAACAACTCGATATTTTCAGGGCCAAAATATCGAGTGCCCTTTTGGCGAAAATTTGTGCAGGTTCTGCAGCGCTCAGGGAGC